GAATGGGTTGATAGGGAGGTAGGTTTTATTTTTGTTTGATTTGGATGAGGTTGTGGGGGGTTTGAGTGAGTTTAGGGATGGTGAATTAATAGTTACCTAATGTAACTTAAGTTCTACGAATAGGTGCGTAGTCCCTTAGCTACGAGCCCATCAGGCCAGCCCGGCTTGGCAGAGTTCAAGAGGGGGTGCGGCCTTGTGCAGGGGCATTTATAGAGGAAGGTGGCTGGTGATTGGAGCAAATTATTTTGATCTCTCTGGCGTCTGTGACCTGGGGGTCACGTGATATCCCACTAGCGAAGTCCTAAGGGACTACGCACCTATTCGTAGAACTTAAGTTACATTAGGTAACTATTAATTCTTTCAGTTCTGTCTCTGATGATGCAACACTGACATTTCCCCCGCTGTGGGACGAACAAAAGATCTCTTAATCTTCAAAATCCAAACTTTTAAACCAAGCTCTTAGGATTACTAATGACTCTTCTGGTCACCCTGGAAAAGCCATGTTCCAGCTTCTTCCCTCTGGCAGAAGATATCGTTCGCTGAGATGCAGGACATCTCGTCATGCTAACAGCTTCTTCCCACAAGCTGTTATCAGTCTGAACAGAGCACTTTAATGATCTTGCACTTGTATTGAAACTAGGGGTGGGAACCTAAGGGTACATCACGATACGATACGATACACGATACAAAGCTCATGATAACGATAATATCACAATAACGATTTTATCACGATACAACGATTATTGATATATTCGTCAGAAATATACAATATGCCAATTTATGAAGAAATACTCTTTATTTCATGATAAATAGAATGGAGATGCGTAATGTAGCCATATATTAAGTATTGATACCAATTCAAAAAAAAAAAGTGTAAAAAAAAATATATATTATATATATATATCGATACTTGGCAAATGCATATCGATAATCGAATCGCGGGAGAAAGTATCGCAATATATCGAAAAATCGATATATCGTCACACCCCTAATTGAAACTGTTTTAGTCGATTTGTTTTTCTCAGTGACAATTGTTTACTGTTTTATCTGTTTTATTTCTGTACTTTTAATGTTGTGTTATGTCTGTATTTGTCTGTGCACACTGGAGACTTTTGCAAACGTTTTCCAATGTGGTTCTTTTTACTGCAAATGGCAAATAAACTGAATCTTACTTTTGAATGCGCTGGAAAATGCAGCAAGTGCTCTTAAACAGTGATTATTTTGTGCTTTACAATTGTCCTTTTTCTTACTTTTTTCAATCAATAAAGTATCCATCTATCTAAATAGGACAAGTTACTCCAGGCCTTTTCCTTAGATTCTAACAAAACAGCAACATTTAAATGCAAGCAAAAAAGCGATAAAAACTTGAATGTGTAGCTCACTGGGGCAGATTAAACTCAACCTAAAGACATGGCTCAAAGCAGGTCTGCAGTCATGAAACATATACAGTGCCTTGCGAAAGTATTCGGCCCCCTTGAACCTTTCAACATTTCGCCACATTTCAGGCTTCAAACATAAAGATATAAAAATGTAATGTTTTGTCAAGAATCAACAACAAGTGGGACACAATCGTGAAGTGGAACGAAATTTATTGGATAATTTAAACTTTTTTAACAAATAAAAAACTGAAAAGTGGGGCGTGCAATATTATTCGGCCCCCTTGCGCTAATGCTTTGTAGCGCCACCTTTTGCTGCAATTACAGCTGCAAGTCGCTTGGGGTATGTCTCTATCAGTTTTGCACATCGAGAGACTGGAATTCTTGCCCATTCTTCCTTGCAAAACAGCTCGAGCTCAGTGAGGTTGGATGGAGAGCGTTTGTGAACAGCAGTCTTCAGCTCTTTCCACAGATTCTCGATTGGATTCAGGTCTGGACTTTGACTTGGCCATTCTAACACCTGGATACGTCTATTTGTGAACCATTCCATTGTAGATTTGACTTTATGTTTTGGATCATTGTCCTGTTGGAAGATAAATCTCCGTCCCAGTCTCAGGTCTTTTGCAGACTCCAACAGGTTTTCTTCCAGAATGGTCCTATATTTGGCTCCATCCATCTTCCCATCAATTTTAGCCATCTTCCCTGTCCCTGCTGAACAAAAGCAGGCCCAAACCATGATGCTGCCACCACCATGTTTGACAGTGGGGATGGTGTGTTCAGGGTGATGAGCTGTGTTTCTTTTACGCCAAACATATCGTTTTGCATTGTGGCCAAAAAGTTCGATTTTGGATTCATCTGACCAGAGCACCTTCTTCCACATGTTTGGTGTGTCTCCCAGGTGGCTTGTGGCAAACTTTAAACCAGACTTTTTATGGATATCTTTGAGAAATGGCTTTCTTCTTGCCACTCTTCCATAAAGGCCAGATTTGTGCAGTGCACGACTGATTGTTGTCCTATGGACAGACTCTCCCACCTCAGCTGTAGTTATCTGCAGTTCATCCAGAGTGATCATGGGCCTCTTGGCTGCATCTCTGATCAGTCTTCTCCTTGTTTGAGATGAAAGTTTGGAGTGACGGCCGGGTCTTGGTAGATTTGCAGTGGTCTGATACTCCTTCCATTTCAATATAATTGCTTGCACAGTGCTCCTTGAGATGTTTAAAGCTTGGGAAATCTTTTTGTATCCAAATCCGGCTTTAAACTTCTCCACAACAGTATCTCGGACCTGCCTGGTGTGTTCCTTTGTCTTCATGGTTCTCTCTGCGCTTTAAACAGAACCCTGAGACTATCAAAGAGCAGGTGCATTTATACGGAGACTTGATTACACACAGGTGCATTCTATTTATCATCATCAGTCATTTAGGACAACATTGGATCATTCAAAGATCCTCACTGAACTTCTGGAGTGAGTTTGCTGCACTGAAAGTAAAGGGGCCGAATAATATTGCACGCCCCACTTTTCAGTTTATTTGTTAAAAAAGTTTAAATTATCCAATAAATTTTTTTTCCACCTCACGAATGTGTCCCACTTCTTGTTGATTCATGACAAAAAAATTAAAATTTTATATCTTTATGTTTGAAGCCTGAAATGTGGCGAAATGTTGAAAGGTTCAAGGGGGCCGAATACTTTCGCAAGGCACTGCATGTGTTGTATATATTGTGTGTTGTATATATTGTTTATATTTTGTATCTATGTGGTTCGGTGTGTTGTATTCTACCTGTATTTTAAACGCTAACTCAACCATTTTATTTATTAATTCTTTGCACACTGTGAACCTGTTGTCACTTTGCCTCTGCCCAAGGACAATACGTCTACTCTGAATGTCCCAGTCAAAAAAAAACCCAATAGGATAAATAAAAAGTATCAAACAAAAATTCTCAGTTCTCTCTGTTCTCAGGTCTCGGCTCCACACCTTCACCTTCCATCTCCGAGGTCGGTCGGTCTCTCGGTCCATCACTGCTGAGGAAATGTCATTAGCAGGCCCTCCGACACGCTGCAACTTTGAAGCAGCCGGGTTTAGCGTGATGTTAACAGGTAGCTGAGCCCTGGGTAGAAGTGATATGAGAGAAATATTGATCAGAGGCAGAAGCGGGTCTCTGTGTGAGGAGAGGAGCTGCGATGTTTATGAAGTGCACTTAAGTGTGGTTAATCGCATTATGGTCCCACCGAGAAGCGGCGATTTACTTAGCATCGATCGGGAGCGACTATGGGCTTAACAGAATTCAGAATTAACACACACTTAAATCTCTCACCTGTTGACCCTCACTCCACTACCGAAAATATCATGAGAAACTGCACCGATGTGGACAACAGCAGCTTATAGACATAACCTGTACTTTAGAATCAACGAAAAAACATAAGTCACATTCATAGATAGAAAAAATAAAAGCCCCAATTTTAAAGAGGTATTAATATTACCAGTCACCAGGTTATGGTGGCTTTAATCTGGACTTTTTAAGTCCAGATTAAAGACTCATCTTTTTAAACTAGCTTTTAATACTTAGGGCACACTGAATTGTGTCTTGGTTGTTTTCATTTTGTGTTTTAAATTGTTTTAATCTGTCTGTGAAGCACTTTGGTCCTCCTGGTGTTGTTGTAAAGTGCTATACAAATAAACTTTGATTGATTGATTGATTGATTATGTAGCTAATGCTAATTTGTATTATAGCACGTAAAAGCTACGTCTTTGCAAAATGTGCTGCAAATGAGAAGGGAACTTAAAGCTGTAGAACCAATAACTTAAAAACTAAATAAATTGAATCCATCCATCCATCTTCTTTCAATTAATCCACTTCTGGGTCAGGGAGGCAGTCAGAGCAGCAGCCCCTCTCTGATGGTAGTGCAGGTGCTGAGTCCACTAGAGCCTTGATCCCTGTTTGGTTCCTTTTTGTGTTTTTACCTTGGACTTTGGTTTATTTACCATTAAATGTTGTTTTTTTGGCATTATTTGCGTTTGGATCCTTCCTTTCATCAACTACATGACAGGAACATGTCGTCAATGCTTTAACTTTTTAGTTTAAAGTGGCTTTTAACTTATCACTTGTTCCTCGTTTGTATCACCCTCAGACGATGTTGTGTTTGTAATAATGTAATTAAAGTTGTCTCAGAATTATTCTTATTGTCATTGGAACATGAAGTCAATGAACTGGGATTCTGCTTTGGTATGTCGTGCAAAGTCATAAAAAGTGAAATACAGGTATGAAGCGTGCATAAAATATCGCTATAAAATGCTAATGAATAAATACACACAATGTGCACTTATCAGATTTTCTCTGAGTCTGAGTGTGTTAGAATGTACTTCAAATTCTACTAAAACGACCATGATTATGACCCAAGGGTGTGATGTCAGATATCATTTACCATTAAAGGGAAGCAAATCTTTATTCACAATCAACTCAAATTGAAACTGTAAACTCGTCAAATAAATAAAATGTAATCAATAAACTCATCAAATAAATCAAATTTAAACTATTAACTCAAATAAATCAAATTTAATCTTTTAACTCAAATTTAAACTATTAACTAATAAAAATATACAATTAATCATCTTCATCAGTCTGGTTTGATTAGGTCCAAGCCTGTCTCGTTGGTCTGGCGCTGCTGCTGGTGGATCTCCTCCTAGCCAGCCGGTCCCCTTGGTCTGGCGCTGCTTCTGGGGGATCTGGTCCAAGCCGGTCCCCTTGGTCTGGCGCTGCTGCAGGTGGCTCTGGTCCGACCTGGTTCAAATGTCCGATTTCCAGCAGCGGGTCTGGGTCCTGGTTCCTGCTCTCTTCCAAGGCCTGCATGACTGCCGCCACGATGAGATTGAAGAGAGTAAACTGGACCAGGACCACAAAGGTGACGAAGACCAAGGGGGCCGCCCAGATGAAATAGTCAAAGCAATGGTGGTCCTGTAGCCGACATGGTCTCATTGTGTCCTGAAAGAAAAGCAGGCATCATCAAAAACATGGACAGAGGCTCTTTTGTCTACTCTAGATTCAGACAGCGTTAGCATAGATACCTAATGATAGCGTTAGCATCAGTGGGGTCGGGTCCCAGCTCAAAAGTGGCCTCCTATGAATGAACTCCTATGAATGAACTCCTATGAATGGAGATGACGTGACTCTGTCCGTTATTATATACAGTCTATGGTTAGCATAGATACCTTCATGATTCCACTCCAGCTGTCGCCTGTGGAGATTTTAAAGAGCACAAGGAGTGCGCAGAAGAAATCTCCAAAGTTGGCGTAACGACTGATGCCTTTGCATGGATTTTCAGCAACACACTCTGGAAAAAAAAACACACACACACAACCAGTTTCAATATGCTTTTCCTCGCAAAATTTTCCAAATCATCAATATCTAATGTCAAGTTTTCTTTTGGATTAAAAAAAATACTCAGATTTGAGAACATACCCAGTGCCCCAAAAAGCTCCACACACAGGACGGCGTAGATATAGTAAAAGAAAAGAATCGGGAGGACAAGGCTTCCACACTGCAAACACAAAGCGGACCGCTCACCTTCTTCAGGGTCTTCCCGATTGTCCTAATCAGGGTGTGGCGTTTTATGACCTTCATCACTGGAAACACAATATAGCAGCACATGTGAACTTGAATACAGGAGCTCGAGGCCCCGGGCGTTACTGTGGAGACCACTGCCCCTGACAGAGGCCTTAGTGCAATATGGATGACATGCAGAGGACACATGTTTTAACAATAACCTCCTCTGTGTGGAGTGGACCTAGCTGAGCTAGAGAGAGAGCTCCAGCTCAGTTTGGTAAATGTCTGTCACCCGGGAACACCTGTGCATTCCCCAGGATGAGCTGGAGGAAAAATGAAGATGCCTCTCTGCAAGACCTTATATGAGTCTATTTTTCTATTAACAATGTTTAAACATTTTACTGCTATGTATTATGTGTGTAGTACTTCATATGTAGGCTATATACAGTATATGATTGTGGTATAACTAGTGTATAATATAATTGTTGAATGCACTCCTTAGAGCTGTGCCACATTACACTTATTGTAATGTTTGCAGTGTGATGAAAGGGTACTGTCCCTACTCAAATAAACTAATAAATAAATAGTGCTATCACATTGTGTGTGTGGGCGACAGTAGCTCAGTTGGTAGAGCATTGGCCTTAAGGCCAGAAGGTCGTGGGTTCAATTCCCACCTCTGCACCTTCTCCATCGACTCCCACTGATGACTGCTGTCGTTGTGTCCTTGGGCAAGACACTTAACCCCACTTTGCCCAAAAGCCCCCACTGAAAGATCAAGGCTATGCTCACACTTAGAGCAGCTGTCCTCCTGTGGACTCACCACCTGCAGAGGGTCAGTGAGGGGCTGGTGCTATGAGACTTGGGTGGCATCTCTGATTGCCACCCCCCTGACCCAGAAATGGATTAAAGGGTAGAAAATGGATGGATGGATGGATGGCATTGTGTGTGTGTGTGTGTGCGTGCGTGTACCCTGCGCTATGCTGAGCACCCGCAGACATTTCCACATGTTGATGTTGACAGAGAGCAGGTTGCTCAGAGGAGTCGTCATGGCGATGTTGACCAGAGACAGCAGCAGCAGCCACATCCAGATAGTTCCATCTGAAACACAGAGACGCATTTGTAAAACTATTGTCACACTTTGGTTTAGATCTCACTAATCAACACCTAATTATAGTGCCTCTCGTAAGTATTCATACACCTGTGCCATGTTTACAAGTTAACCACAAACATAAAGATTGTTTACTGAAAGTTCACACACAAGTATCCGACAACTAAACAGACAAGTGAAAGTAAAATGAAACATTATTCCGCTATTATTTTACAAAAAGAAAAGTGAAAAGTTGGGCCTGCAAAAGTATTCATACAGAGTTCATTCTTTGTGGAATCCTCTTTTTTGCAATAAGAGCAGCAAGCTTTTGGGGTATGATACTTTTGCAAGGCACCGTGAGTGATAATTGATGTATAATCTATGGTTAATCCTGGTTAAATGTTATTTCTTAAGCACTCCTTATTCAACATGGCCTTATTCAATATCTAACTAACTACTAACTAACACTTTCCCATGTGGGTTTGGGTAAACGAACGTTCACTTCATTAGCTGTTAATGAGTGAGGATTAATCTAGTGTTACTATCCAACTCTAAAATACACTGTCCTCTGCATTTGACCCATCCTCCGTCGCCGCAGTGATTTTGGAGACACTCACTTGTTGGTGAAGACCCTGCTCCTGAGAACCCAGATCTTAAACAGCAGGAGCAAAGAGAAGCAGATGGTGATCACGTAGAACCCTATGTCCATGGTGAGCTCCAGATTCTGCACAAACACACACACGCACACACACACACTTTACATCAGCAACACATCTCCCGGGTCTTCTTAACCCCATTTTTTCAACCATTTTGGTAAATCACCGTTTGAGTCACTTCATCTACCTCTTTGGGGCTTTTCTATCACTTGGTTTTAAGCACTTTTAAGCACCATCAAGCTGCATCTCAACCATTTGGTAAGGCCTATAATTATAAAATGATAACTGCTGAGCCTGTAAATATCATTCATCTGTAAATAAGTAAATAATAAAATCATGTGCAACTTCAGAATGTCCACTGAACAATGTTGCTTTACTTTATTTACTTATTATCCTGCCCTATATGTACAGTATATAACTCTGCACTACGTATATAATTTTGTTGTCGTTGATAGACTGGTATTGAAGCATTTACAGCAATTAGAGCTAGCTAGGAAACATAAATACTACTTACTTTGTATATTTTTGTGTGCTCCCTGTGTGCTCTTTCCACTGTCCTGTCTGTGTGCTGCAACATTGACGTCACCCCACCCTGGGACGAATAAAAGATCTCTTTTCTTATCTTATAATGTTATCTTACATTATACAAATCTAGGGGGTTCAATAAACATAAAAAACATATCCTTTTTTATTGCCAAAAGTGCCTAAAACCAAGAGAGGGATGTTGTATAAATGTAAACAACATAAAATACACAAAACTCAAGGCGTGAAAATGTGTATGCCCCAATGAGGCAGATTTCCGTTCCATGCTTCAAAGTAGATGAAGTGACTCAGAAAGCACCACCAGATGATTGTGGAAACCATTAAAGTGGCAGCGATGGTACCTTGGGTTGCTGAAAGCGGTCGGACGACATCAAAAACAGGTTCACCAGACACACCAAGGACACTACCCACTCGCAAAGCAGGACGTGACGAGTAAAGCGGACCCGGTTTCTGGGGATGCGGATAGCGGCCCTGGCGCCGGGGTTGGCGTCAGGAACCTGTCTCCTTGCCCGCTCGAACCAGGTGTCCATGATGGTACCAATGAACATGTCCAGCAACAGGAAACTGAAGGTCATGAAGAAGACAAAAGAGAGGGAGCGCCACGGATTGAACTCCGTCAGGGGCTGAAGGAGAGCACAAAGACACGGCGCCCTCATTCTATACCAGGGGTGTCACACTGGTTCTGGTCCATAAGAGCTGGTTGGGGCCAGAAGTATAAAAGTGGAATAAAATTTAACAGATTTTTAAATTATCTGTATTTGACATGACTTTGAATATTATTTTAGAACAAATACAAAATAAATAGTAAATAAAATAGTAATAAAAATAATACTTCAATCAACTTTTATTTGTAGAGCCCCTTTCTCACACAAGGCAACACATGGCACTTCACAACATCACATCAGGGATACATCATAAACATTAATATCTAAATTCAAAATATAATTAAAATCCTGAAGGGCATTAAAACACACAATAAGATCACAAGTACTCATAAACATTAAAATCACAAATGGGATTAAAATCGTTAATCAGTTATCAGTTTGTATCATATCCAAGCATTGGTAACTTATCAGCTTGCCATTTACTAGATCGGGGTGTCCACACTAATCAAACCAAGATCTACCTTTACAACAACTATCGAGCTGTGATCTGCCTTGGATTTCACGATTCAGAATATCACCTGGATGTCGGGACCCACGGCGTCAATGCCGTCATACATGATCTTCACCCAGCCGTCTTTGGAATACATTACAAACAACGTCAACATTGCCTGCAACACACACACACTTTAAAACCGTTGACCCTATGTAGAGACAAGAGGTGGTTTATAATTTCATGTTTGGAATATGAAATAATACCTTAGTTATTGTGATTTCGGGCTATACAAAATGAATGGAATAGGATGTGACTGGATTGTGGCATTCATAGACCTGGAAAATGTTATCAAAATTAAGCGTCCTTCTCTCCCATTGGTAGCTGTTACGGAGACAGGACGCCTCGCCGGTGATATTTTCCACCCTCACGTCTTGAACCTCGTTGTCCACACAGTTGTAGAACGCGCCTTTCCACAGCTACGGGACACAGACAAACTTTAACACAGAGACCCTACACTGCGACTCGAGACCAGAGACCATCAGACTCAGACTCAAACGCATGAATTTGAAGAGTCACATATTTTGTTTTATGTTTAAAATTAATTAAAAGGCACAGTATGTACTCTGCACTCTTACTGATCCAATAGTGTTAATACAAAAAGAAACTCGCACTGCTATAGTCACTTTTAATTTGCTCACAAAAGAGACTATGATGATATTTACACAAGGACAAGGCTGCAACTGTAAAACGGTAAAGTTGGGTATCGGTTTGGCCTTTTGTTTACATGAAGACGGTGAGAACCAGCCTTCAGAGTGGAAAAGAACAGAGGAAAAAGGAATTATCTTCCTGCAATGACCTCGGCACTTCCCCCGCTCGTATATTTGGACATGTGCAGTAGCATGTGTGTATATGTTTATGTGTGTATGTTTATGTGTGTACATGTTTATGTGTGTATATGTTTATGTGTGTACATGTTTATGTGTGTATATGTTTATGTGTGTATGTTTATGTGTGTATATATGATTATGTGTGTATATGTTTATGTGTGTATGTTTATGTGTGTATATGATTATGTGTGCATATGATTATGTGTGTATGTTTAAGTGTGTATATGTTTATGTGTGTATATGTTTATGTGTGTATATGTTTATGTGTGTATGTTTATGTGTGTATATGATTATGTGTGTATATGTTTATGTGTGTATATGTTTATGTGTGTATGTTTATGTGTGTATATGTTTATGTGTGAATGTGTGTGTGTTTACCTGCACTCCCAGGATTCCAAACATGAACATGAAGACAAAACTCAGAGACCACGTTGAGAACTGGCTTGATGGCCGCAAGCAGCGTTTCGATGGCGTGCTTCAGCTGTGGCACATGTTTCAGCATTCTGGACAAAAACCACAGAAAGAAAAGAATCCATCACATTTTCTATGAAGTATGTATCTGTTGATTGTGTCACATTTTGGAGTGCTTTGGACTTTGTATGAATTGTGACATTTTTCCTCTTTTTTTCTCCTACTTTTTGTCTTAAATCTAGTCATGTGAAATTTTCAAATGGCATGGTGTTATTTTACACTTCTATAACAGCAGCAGAGATATATTGTGTGAGCTTTGCAGGTAATGGCTCCATGTACTCCTAATGAAGCCTAAAGTTTATACTGTTTATAGTTCTGTAAACAGCATCTTTTATTGTCCAAAAAAGTGCTATATAAGTACTATGATTATTATTATTATTATTATTATTATATATTCTCTTGTAAAAGCGTAGGCAAAATAAGCATCAATTTCAGCCAACACTTGGTAGGGGTGTAGGTTGAAACTAATTCTTTTTTTTGCTGTAAAGTTTTTGCTGTGATGATGTATAGGGAAGGCAAGTTTATTTGTACAGCACAGTTCATACACAAGATGAGTCAAAGTGCTTAGCAAAACAAGATAGACACACAAAATCACGTAAATTATAAATGACTACAGTACATTAAAAGTTGTATTCATAGCTAAACATAAATGTTTTTAACCTGGATTTTAGAATGTTCAGGAAGACTGTTCCAGATTCTAGCTGCATAAATCTGAAATGCAGCCTCCCCATGTTTACTCCTGACTCTGGGACCAGCAGGAGGCCCGTCCCTGTGCTCCTCAGAGTCCGAGTTGGTTCATATGGCACTCACATGTTCCATTCCATTCCATCTTCTTCCGCTTCATCCGTTGCCGGGTAGCGGGGGCAGCAGTCTAAGCAGAGACGCCCAGACTTCCCTATCCACACACACTTCCTCTAGCTCGTCTTGGGGGACCCCAAGGCGCTCCCAGGCCAGTTGAGAGACATAGTCCCTTCAGCGTGTCCTGGGTCTTCCCCGGGGCCTCCTCCCCGTGGGACGTGCCCGGAACACCTCCCCAGGGAGGCGTCCAGGAGGCATCCGGAACAGATGCCCGAGCCACCTCAACTGGTTTCTCTCGACGTGAAGAAGCAGCGGCTCTACTCCGAGCTCCTCCCGTGTGACTGAGCTCCTCACCCTATCTCTAAGGGAGCGCCCAGCCACTCTGCGGAGGAAGCTTGTATCCGCGATCCTGTTCTTTCGGTCATTACCCAAAGCTCATGAGGGAGGGAACAAAGATTGACCGGTAAATCGAGAGCTTTGCCTTTCGGCTCAGCTCCCTCTTCACCACAACGGTCCGATACAGCGACCGCATTACTGCGCACGCTGCACCGATCCGCCTGTCAATCTCACGCTCCATCCTTCCCTCACTCGTGAACAAGACCCCGAGATACTTGAACTCCTCCACTTGAGGAAGGACCTCCCCACCCACCTGAAGAGGGCAAGGCACCTTTTTCCGGTCGAGCACCATGGCCTCGGATTTGGAGGTGCTGATTCTCATCCCAGCCGCTTCACACTCGGCTGCAAACCGTCCCAGTGCATGCTGCAGGTCCTGGTTCGTTGGAGCCAACAGGACGACATCATCCGCAAACAGCAGAGATGAAATCTCTGTGGTCCCCGAACCGGACCCCCTCCGACCCCTGGCTGCGCCTAGAAATTCTGTCCATGAACACAGTGAACAGAACCGGTGACAAAGGGCAGCCCTGTCAGAGGCTAACATTCACCGGGAACAGGTCTGACTTACTGCCGGCAATGCGAACACCGGTCATACAGGGACCGGACGGCCCTCAGCAGAGGACCCCGGACCCCGTATTCCCGGAGAACCCCCCAAAGTACACCCCGGGGAACACGGTCGAACGCCTTCTCCAAATCCACAAAGCACATGTGGACAGGTTGGGAGAACTCCCATGAACCCTCGAGTATCCGAGAGTATAGAGCTGGTCCAGTGTTCCGCGACCGGGACGAAAACCACACTGCTCCTCCTGGATCCGAGTAGGGTTGGGCGATATTTTTTTTGTACCGTTATACCGGTATAAGTAAATTAAATGATAAGAAAATGCCTTATACCAGTGAAAACGATCATTTAACACTGAAAACGGCAAGCGGAAGACACGTTTGTGTGCGGCGCACTTTGATGACGCATCTGCGCGGCACGTGTAGCAGAGCGGCGTGCACGGACAACAACAACAGAGCAGAGAGCAAACATGGCTGAGGGCGGCGGTGAAGACCATGGTGAAGACATGCAGATTGTAGAAGACATTGTGCCAAAACGCGGAGCTACCTCAAACATATGGGAGTAGTTTGGGAACTAGATATGTTTACTGTCATTCATTTTACTTCAATGCATGTGTTTGTCTACATTGCAATATAATTACAAATAAGTTATAATTACATAATTATAGAAACGCAAAAGGATACAAAAAATATATACAGTATTTGATCATTTTGACTATATTGGGATTAGGAAACATAAGCCAAAGTGATCCAATAATTATTTGATAATGCTACACTTTTTATATTACAAAGGACAAACTTTTATATATTTTACAAATTACAAATGTTCACCTTTATTACCTGATGCCTGCAATTTTCAGTATGTACAAAACAGAATTCTCTACAATTCAGTTTTGTTAATACGTTTTATATACAATAGCTGTATTGCACATTTTGCTGCCAATAAATCAGTAAATGCACTTTGAGGCAAGTGTGTTTAAAATTATCAGTGCTAAGTTTTTATAGCTTTTATATGAGGCTTTGTTAAAATTATCATATTGTGATACATACCAACAAAAATCGTGATACATGCTGAGGCCCATATCGCCCAACCCTAGATCCTAGATTTGACCATCGGCCGTAGCCTCCTCTCCAGTACCTTGGAGTAAACCTTACCAGGGAGGCTGAGGAGTGTGATCCCACGATAATTGGAACACACCCTCCCAGGGTTTCCTCCAGAGGGGGGGATGGGGGGATCAGTCCCCCCCTAGCCATGGCCCTAGGGGGGGATATCCCCCCCTCAATTTTCTTAGACATGCATGTATACAATTCTCACATCAAAAAGTGCAATAACATTATTTTCATTGGGATACATCTGATCTGGCTCACTGTCTAATCTATAATCTAAAATATGATGATAGTACAAAAAATTACATAAAAACACCAAATCAGAAACTTCCATACAGGAATAATGTGTTCTGAATAGGAGTCTCCTCAGCTGAATAGCGGTTCTCTTTTTTGAGGTCTTGCAGATTTATTTTTAGCGTGATTTTCACTGTATATGAACTTGGTGTGTTCATCCTGATTGGCTAAGGAAGAACCAGTGTATTGTGTTCTGCATCCTGATTGGCTATCTCTGTGCCGTGTTTCTTGTATCACACAGAATTCAGCTTGACAAATGTAAATCCATGTCTGATTGCAGTGTGACTGTAAGTGTTGTATGCTAATTTTCTCCTTGACAAAACCATGGACTAAACCCACAACATGGTTAGTGCTAAAAAGTTGAACTTCTGGACATGTTGAAACGATGACAGCAAAGAGGAGCACGGTGCGGAGCCCAGGCCTTTGACGAGGGATTTTCACACAGCACTAAGCCCATTTTTTTCAATTTTTTTTACAATTTTGATATCAAGATTTCAAAAGGCTATAACTTTAAAGTTTGAGATAAATGCATTTTGTAAATGTGAACTATCATCAGTATGAACCAAACTTTGGGATGGAAGTTGATTCGTCATCTAATTTGCATATTGTGAAAAAATAGTGTATTTTGAGATCAGGGAATACCATCAACAGTCTACGTGAATTATCTTCAGTATGTAACACGATGTGGGATAGGAATGAATTCACTGTTCAAATTTATATAGAATATTTTAGCACTGGTCCATGCCCATATGGAACTTTATATGCAATAGACCTTCAATGATCAAGATGGCACTGCTTATAGTTTACCAGTCATGAAATCTGCACTTTGGTTTCAATATTACCCTTTCAAAAGACCTGATGGGCATACAGTTTGTTTCAGTGGAAATGATGCTCCAGAATTCATCGTTTAGAAACAGAGCGATTAAATGAATGGGCTCAGAACTTGTCAGATTGTCTCAACAATAAACAACAGGCTCTTCAACATTTCTGATCCACTTTTATGGATTCTCTTCTCTAAAGAACTGCCTTCATCATCATCTTCGTCCGTAAAGGCAGATTAGCGGTGCGTTTTCTTCCGTGGCTTCTGCCACGTCTCCCGTGTTCCCCGCGGTTGTTTAACCCCGCTGCATTCACCCATATGCCCGGTGTTATGATCCCCTTCACCACGTCTCCTGTCTGGTGTTCGCAGAATGTTTCCACTGTGGCCGCACACCGCGGTAAAGAGGTCCGGGTTTTTGGAGTCAGCGGTAAAGAGGTCCGCACATTAAAAGCGGGTGGCCGCTTTATGTTAAAAAGTACATTGTGGCGGCTCATCCCCGCGGCTTCTCTTTCCAATGTTGCTGTAATTAACAGGATAAAGCGGCCATCGTCGTCTTCTGTCTTAATGACGAGCAGGTATCAGATAAAAAAGCTTATGTCCTTGCCTGTTAGTATAATCAACCGCACTGCAAAATGTCACAGTTTTGGCTGTAATGCGCTGAAACAGGTTGTTTTGGTCAGGTGTCCGTAGGCTCCAGACTTCTGCCGTCTGTCATGGAGAGTGGGCGTGGCCGGGACGTCACATGCAAGGGGTCAATAGTTGGTGGGGTCTGCATCATTACAATGATGCCAGAACAGCCACTTCACCTTGACAAATTAATATCAATATCATAATCGTGCTAATGTCAGCAAAATAAATTCACTAGTTCACTGCCAGTTTAGAAATGGCGGCTATGGAAGGGCGCCAGAGCTCTAAGCTAACGCTAACGTTAGCTCTAAACTAAACAGATGTCCATAATCAAAAGGGAATCACATTTTTCATTTGCACAATAACACTGTTTATGGCATTTTTAAACAATTAATAACCTCAAATAGTACCGCTTGTGTCCTTATTAGCCATTTACAGTGGACGTTTAGGTGCATATTTTCTTGCTAGCTAGTTTTAATAACATGCTCATGTTATGTGTTAAACGGTTGCACCAGACCAGTTCAAATAAATGTTAAACCTTCTGAGAACAAGTCTAGATATAAATAAACAAACATACCTCTTAGTATTTCAGCTGCTACATTATCCATTCCTGCTTCCATGGCGTAAAACAATTGGCTGAATTCTCCTCCAACTCCAGGTCCGAGACTGAGCCTGAGCGTTGTGCTTTCTTCCCGCTATGACATGGAAGCTACCATTTCATAAAAGGGGGTGACCAAAATATTTCAGATGTTGTAAATGTTGATAGTATGCTTAAGTAATGGCTGATTCTAAATTATATTTTCTACATATAAAAACTGTTGACACAGGCCTCCCCTATAATATTGTAGCATCCTGAACATATTCTTGGGTTTCATTAAACTGGCCTGTAGGGGGCGAATGAGCAGAGGTGGGACAACTCAGTTTTGCTCCCATTGAAAACCATGTAAATGTTGTATGTTTTGTTGTACACGGTCTTAATTGGGAGGGGTACACTCAATTCTAAGAGAGTAGTAAATAATATTTCTCAAAAGATTTCTTGATTACGGGCATTTTTGAAAAAATAAATAAATAAAACTAAACAGAAGAAATTGCTGCGTTTCATTCGGGTGGCCTGCAGTGGGCGCTTATCTGGGAAAGTAAGTAGTAGTAATCTTTATTTATATACCGCCTTTTCACTGCACATCGGAGTCTCAAAGCGGTTTACAATTGTTATTTTTGGGAGCAGGGGTGGCAGTACAGGAGGCACATGCCAGACCTATTGTACATATTTTTAGTGGTAGGGGAAACCGGAGCACCCGGAGGAAACCTACGCAGACACGGGGAGAACATGCAAACTCCACTCAGAAAGGCCCTGGTCCAACCGGGATTCGAACCCAGGACCTTCCTGCTGAGAGGCAAGAGTGCTATCCACTCAGCCACCGTGCCGCCCGGAAAGCCTTGATTAATCGATTTTAATCATTAATTCGAGTTTTACGTTTAGGGCGATTTCTTTTTTTAAAAATTCGATTTTTATTTTCTCCAGCGCAGAACTACAGCGCTAACGCGCTAACCGCGGGTCTTTGGTGTTGAGCAGTCATTTTGAAGCTAACCTAATGCTAACAGTCTCCTTCTGGCCTGATGCTCGCTCTCACAGTTGGTGCTGTTGCAATAACACTTCAAACGTTCAAGAATCAGACTTTATTTAAATCGCCAGAACACACACACACACGCACGCAAGCCCCGGTCGCTATGTTCGTACGCCACATCTTTCACGCTCTCTCACGCTCGTTATTCCAAAGCGCACTCCCGTGTCCGTGGCGCGCACACACTCGTGTCCCACTGAGCCGCTGCACTTTGGGGAAAGACACGTCTCACACATTGCTCTCATTGCTCTGATACAAACAACGTGTTCCCCGCTGTCTGCTAGCTACAGTAGCTGCTACAGTAGCTGTTAGCTACAGTAGCTGCTACAGTAGCTGCTAGCTACAGTAGCTGTTAGCTACAGTAGCTGCTACAGTAGCTGCTACAGTAGCTGCTACAGTAGCTGTTAGCTACAGTAGCTGCTACAGTAGCTGTTAGCTACAGTAGCTGCTACAGTAGCTGTTAGCTACAGTAGCTGCTACAGTAGCTGTTAGCTACAGTAGCTGCTAGCTACAGTAGCTGCTACAGTAGCTGCTACAGTAGCTGCTACAGTAGCTGCTAGCTACAGTAGCTGCTAGCTACAGTAGCTGTTAGCTACAGTAGCTGCTACAGTAGCTGTTAGCTACAGTAGCTGCTAGCTACAGTAGCTGCTACAGTAGCTGCTACAGTAGCTGTTAGCTACAGTAGCTGTTAGCTACAGTAGCTGCTACAGTAGCTGTTAGCTACAGCATCAGAATGTAAACAGGAAGCTCGCACAATGCGGGAGTCACTGAAGTTAGTATTAGCGCCACCAGCTGGACCGAGCGTTGTACTACAGCACAGTTACTCAGGCACAGTTGAAAGAACAAGCATGAAAACCCGAGGAGGCTTTTGGAAAAGACTGTCTGTTACAACATTTCTATTTTGAGTAATCAGTTTTAAAAATGTGATATTTCATATAAATAATGCATGTGTTTAATAGGATTGATATATTTGCGATGGGCCTTGTTTGTGTGATTTAAGTTATTTTGAAGGTGCATAGTGTCATTGTAAGTGAAGTTATTATAAAACTGTTAAGCTACATTTTCACTGTTTACAATGGCAGAGCCATCTCGTTTACAAGCATGTTTTAAGGCTTAATTCCTGTTACACTTATGCTCCATGGGGATTTAGATTAAACTGCATAAAGGAAAATCTATTTCTTTGTCAGTTGTAGTTTGTTTTTAAATAGAAAAAAATAAATCGATTAAAATCGAAAATCGGATTTGGTGTGAAAAAATCGGAGATTTTTTTTTTTTGCCATATCGCCCAGCCCTAACCTCGCCCTGCATCAAATTATTTTTTCAAGTGCACCACAGTTGAAACATGAACAAACTTTTGTTTTGCATAACATTAAGCCCCATGAAAATGATGGATGATAAACTTAAATGAAATAACTTTGATTAAACTAAATCCAATTTTAGATAATATTTACTTTCTGTGTGTTACAACATTCAACCCGATCAACTTCCAGCCAACTCTGGCATCATGGAGCAGAACTTCTCTCCACCTGTGACGACGATCAATTGGGATCTTATTACACAAACAGCAGCCAATGTACACATTAAATACTATATTGAGGATGTAATGGAACTGCACAGTAGTTTCAAATGCTTGATCCCAAATTGTTGCATAATATTTCAATATCAGATTGTTTTGGTGTTTGCAATGAATCATTGAGCAAAATGGGTTCACTCGTTATTTAACTTTTTAATCTTAAAAATAATAAGCAATTAATGCTTGAAATACAAAATATTAACTTGGACCAAGAAGTTTCATACTTCTAAGCGTCCCTGTGATACGGTAATTCTCAATATAAGCATAAAACTGCTCATAATCAGCAAAAAAATCTCAATAACAAGTTATAAATCCTTATTAAGATTATTAAAATAAATACCTCTTAAAATAAGTGAAATGCGCTTACACAAAAACGGTTTTGTAAGAAGAAATGGCTTGGCAGATAAAAACTAGAAATCTTTGCTTAAATTAAGATTCCTTCCCTTAGTTAGATTTTAATTTTTGCAGTGTAAGTAAATATGACTTACTACTCACACAAAGCAGACTTCATAGAGAGACATAAACCTCAGACAGAAATGATCAGAGTAAACACAAGGAAAACACCAAAGTGAAACAGAAGCTGAACACACACACACACAGATAGACACACACACATACCATCAGATCAGACAGAATGACCATGAATGCACTGACCTGAAACACCGTGACCATGGCCCACTTCAGATGGTCAAAGTTTTTGCGCCACATTCCGTCTTCTACCAGGAACTTGAACTTGCAGCCGAACAGATATGCGTCCCCAGCAGACTGCGGTAGAGGGCGCTGTGTCATTTTAGGATTTAAAACTTTTTTATCTAAACGCTATCTGTCAAGCTCTCTTCTTCCTGATTACTTGGATTCAGAATATATGTGTAAACAAGTTTTTAGTATTATACTTGTGCGCATGTGTGTTACCTTGTGACCTATGTTTCGCGGGTTTTGGTCCTCTATAAATAAATGGGGACCTCACTTTTTGGGAGTCTCCAACTACAATTTGCCTCTTTCTGTGTCGCTCATCCCTCTCCCGTTTGGTAGGCTACATTGGTGGCAGCGGTGCCGCCGTTGCCACCTGAGTTGATGTAGGTGGTGGCGGCGGTGACGAACATTTGTGCCTTGCTTTTTGTACTTTTTTGGTGGGTGAGTCTGACCTGACGGTGCCAGTCGCCATTATGGTCTCGCCATATTTTTGTGTTGATGTGGGACTGGAGTGATGGTGTGGCCTGGGCTCTTCTCGGCTGGGGGGACTGTCAAGGACTGGTGTGACGAAGTGCTGCCGCCGGGGGAGACGTTCCAGTACCGGACTGAGCATGTGGCTCGGTACCGCTGATGTCCAGGATCAGGCCGTGACATGTGCGCATTGGTGCCCGAATCCAGCGCCGTCCCTCGGGAGCCACAGGAATGTGGTTATGCCTGTTGGGGTGCCTGCTGACGTGTGTGTTCGGAGTCCGTAATTCTGATGTTCCCAGCTTGTCCTTCGGTCCCGTGTTCTGGACGTTCTGTTGATTTCCTGTGCTCCGGTCAGGGGAATTCGTGCTCCGGTTCTGCGCCAGTCGTCTACCTGCTGTCCAGGCTGCTGCAGGATCGCCAGTGTTTGGTTCTTGGAGGACGCTGGGACTTTGATGCTGTTTTGTAAATTTTTATGTGTGTGTGGTGCATTTTTTTTTTTTCAGTTAGACATGAGGACATGTCTTGTTAAAGGGGGGAAGTATGTAAACGACTTTTTAGTATTATACTTGTGCGCATGTGTGTTACCTTGTGATCTATGTTTCGCGGGTTTTGGTCCTCTATAAATAAATGGGGACCTCACTTTTTGGGAGTCTCCAACTACAATTTGCCTCTTTCTGTGTCGCTCATCCCTCTCCCGTTTGGTACGCTACATATGTATTTTTTAGCAGCTTCTAAAGAAACTAGAGTCGATTGTGTTTGTGTTTTTAGTTGTAAGTATGCGTATGTGTGTTTAAGTGTATGTGCGTGTGTATGTGTTTAATTGTAAGCGTGTATGTGTGTTGTTGTGCGTCACCTGAACACAATGACAAACTGCTCTATCATCAGCAGCAGTGGCACAGACTGGGAGAGGCTCTTTCCCAGGACCACCAGCTGTTTGCGCAGATACGGCAGCAAGCGGATAATACTCAGCAGACGCAGGACACGAAGCGACCTGAACAGGTACTTCAGATCTCCAGAGAACGGAAGTATCATCTCCAGAGTGCTGTTCCACACGCGCACACATACACACACACACACACAACACAATATATATTTAATACAATGCAAGTCATTTCAAACAAGCAAATCCAGGTAATCAAGCTAATCCAGCTTTGCACATTAACAATATTCTCCGGACTATAAACCGCACCTGATAGGCTTTAGGCTCAAATTTTAAGATTTATTTTTTATTTTTGTACTTGTACAAGCCGCACCGGATTATAAGCCACACTGATCCCACATTCGGGGGATCAAAATTGTTCATCATGTCACATTAAGAATCAAGTCACTGCCTGTTCTCAATCTTCCAGTGTGATCTATTGTTACTGTTACCTCACTATTGACCCCTTGCATGTGACGTCCCACGCCCACTCTCCATGACAGACGGCAGAAGTCTGCGAGCCTACTGACCAAAACAACCTGTTCCAGCGCATTACAGCCAAAACTGTGACATTTTGCAGTGCGGTTGATTATACTAACAGGCAAGGACATAAGCTTTTTTATCTGATACCTGCTCGTCATGAAGACAGAAGATGACGATGGCCAGCGGCAATCAACCAAAAGGACTGGGACCCATCCAAGTACTCCCTAATATGCAGTGAACACTTGTGGTAAACAGTGACCTATGTACTGCACAGGTGGACAAATGCAAGACAAAATAGTATTAATAACCTGGCCTTGTGGAGGTCTCAAGGACCACAGAGACTTTCGTTGTTTAGGCTATTTGGTGCCGAAGGTTTGGCCTTTTCTATGATGACGTAGATTTCCATATATAATGTATCTGTGTCTTTTGTTCTGCCTGAAATTAACGACCATTTTGTGAATAAACCAGCCAGGAGGCTTTGTCTTTTAACACTTTTTACAAGATAAAGCAATCACAAGTTTATATTTATTTTATTTCCATTAATTTGGAGGACAATGACACACGTCAAACGTGTCTCTTACTACTGTCCTGTATGTGCGCTGCAACATTGACATTTTTATCTTTTAAGTCAATTGCGTGTTTCACTATTTTCCTCTCCGTCAGTACGTATCATGTTTGGCTGTAGACACAAAAGCCACAGAAAAGTGGACTATTGCTAATGCTACCAGAAAAATGTACATATAAATCTGCTCCAGTGTAAGGGGATGCATTGTTAACGATAATGATAAAGATCATGTAGGGTGAATTTGGGCAAAAATAGACATTTTATTTAATCGATAAAATTGACTGGGGGGAGAAGGTACGGGTCAACATCCAGTTAGGCGATCCTTAACTTCTCCAAATACCACTCTTTGTGAGCCCTGACCTGATGTCCTACTTCCACCTATAACGTAATCGAACATGTGCTTGAAGCAGCCACTTCTCGATTTAGGAGAGGAAGCTCCGTTTTTAAGAGTTGTAGTCCGTTTTGCTCTCGCAGCAATGCTAGTTTCCAATACTTCCGCCGTAAGCTCATTCACAATCACGTGATTGGATGACGTTGATGCATCTGGTCAATAAGCAACAGCCCTCAAAATGCAGGAAAAAAGATGCGCCTTATATACGTTTTCTTTTTACATAAATAGATAGATACATATATATGATGGCAAGATACATACTTAATTATATGACGGATAGATATATGCTTAATTATAAGTGATTGATAGATAGCTTGTCCTTCTAAATAAAGTCCATGGTTTGAACGTTATTCCACTCTTTTATGCTACACAATGCTAACATAACTATAGTTGCTTGCTCCACATAAACATGTCCTCTGACATAGTGCACGTTGCGCGTTACCTGGTGATGACCATGATGAAGTCCAGCACATAGTACATGTCCAGAAAGTAGCGATAGGACATGGCACACAGACGCAGAACCAGCTCTGCCAGGAACAGCGCGTATCCAATGGTTCGGGTAATATACTCCGCTTTGGTCAACCAGTCCGGCTGTGGGACACAAGGAGACAAGGAATGGATAGAGTCAGAGTCCCATAAGTTTACAACCTCAAATGATTTTCAATAATAGACGTTTCGGACTAGATTGTTCTGTTTTCTTGATGATCCAGGAACTTTTGTATTGTTGTTTCAGACAATTTCAAGTAGTCACTGTATCTACTTGAAGCTGGCTTGGAACTGAAATCTACCTCTTTGGGGCATGTCCCTTGGGTTTAGGCACTTTTACCAACAAACTTCATCTCAATCATTTGGTAAAGGCATATAATAAAGAAACTAGGATGAAAAGAACAAAACAAAAAAATCTAAAAATGAATTATTTGTGTTAGTACTCCTACATCTTAGAAAATCCAAACAAGAAAAATTTACATTGGTAGAGCATTGGCCTTTGAGCCTGAAAATTGTAGGTTTGAGTCCAACGCAAAACTTTCTCCAACGACTCCCACTGATGTCTGTTGTTGCGTCCTTGGGCAAGACACTTAACCCACTTTTCCTATAAGAAGCGCGGAAGTAACGTTCGCTGCATGCCCCGGTGTGTATATGTATTTTTTGATTTTCCTTCAGATTTTATAGGCTCTTTGGAACTTTGTGATGATACTGTGTGTGTGTGTGTGTGTGTGTGTCTCTCGCACCTGTTGATGGTGCTCCACGGCCAGGATCAGGATGGAGAAGCCCACAATGATTCTCATCAAGGATCTGAACCCAAAACTGTCCAGGATCCACACGCTCATGTCCTGAAACATGCAAAGGACAAGTCAAGACACACATTAAAACAGAGACACACTAAAACAGACACACACACTAAATACTCCACATCAGGGGTCTCCAACCTTACATCATAACTCGCTGGAAAATCTTGTTTCACAATTGTAAAAATGTCCTAAAATTAAGATACAGTAAACGTAGCCAAATACAGTATGTCTGACTTGAATTTCTGGATTTTTTTGCCTTGCATGCACATACAACGATCTATTACAATGTTTTAAGAACTTTCTCATGGGAATGAAAGCTCAGTGGCGAGTTGGAGATTTGAGGCTAACATATTAGCTAAAATGTGGTTTTAGCAGGTCTAAGGATTGTTAGACCTAGCAGGATCGTTAGACCTGCTCCCAACCACATTTAAGAAGATTTTTAGCAGATTATATATAAATCTCCAACTTTGCAGCTGAGTTTTCATTCCCTTGAGAAAGTTATTTGGATTAAGAACAGATGATGGGTGAGCATCCTTCCTTTGTTTTGAATAATCCCTGTACGACTGAGCGTTTACACAAATGCAATGTATGTAATGTAATGAAGGTCATGCAAAACAACGAGTATGTAAATGTTTACTTTATTTATCTCCGTAGGGAACTTTGTCGTCTGCATTTGACCCATCCTACAAACGCCACTAGGGCTGTAGTACAGCACCTGCGAACCCATCTACAAATGTTGATGCTTGGCTTGGTCAGGATTACCAGGGTTGGAGGATTTACCTTTTGTGCATTTAGCTAAGGGTAGGCTATAGGGGAAACCGTAGCCTGGCCTTAGCCGTCCATAAACTCTGGTCAATTATTATTTCCCTACATGTACGAAATTAAATTAGTACAATGGTTTGGTAGGACTAGGCGAGGGAAACTGGAGAACCTGGAGGAAACCTCCACTCTCTCTTTTGAACTGGGATTCGAACCCAGGACCTCTTTGTTGAGAAATGAGAGTGCTATCCACTCAGCCACCAGTGCCGGTATGGACAAAAAAATAAAAAAATTCTTACTCTAGAAAAAAATGACAAAGATAAATGGACTCTCACAGTTCCGCTCCTGACGGGGTTCTCTATTGACATTGCAGGATGCACCAAAATGCAAAGGTCAAATTTCCCTTTAGACCAAAAAGTTTACTTTATTTTTAGTAAAGCAAATTTTTTGTTTAGTTTATATTTAAATTATGATTAATTATCTGCAATATGCACCAATTCATGGCCTTATAGTGAAGTTTAACACAGCGCGTCATAGTGATAAAACAGTGTGATGGCTACATTACTGCTATATTTGGCTGCTGTGTTTACATTGAACACGGCTCTGCAAACAGACTTGGTGGAAATGGGGCACGGGGCGTTTAGTGTGAATGGACAGACAGACAGTGTGAAAACCCCCAATGCTATTCCTTCAGCACTTCTTAATGAAATGACAAACAAATTATTTGTGTTGACATGTAGACTGATCAGGACCATCCCAGAGTGAAGTTTACTGAAAGAATCTCCTCCACCCGAAACTCCTGATGTTCCCGAGACTCCGGTCCAAGCCTCAGTAAGTAAGACTAATAACAGCCTGAGAGTGGAGGGAGTCGCCCCTTGCATTGTAAAAAGGGATGTTCAAAGACTAAAAAGAAACAAAAGCTTCTGCTCATAAAAATGTAAAATATAAACTGTAGAACTTGGTCCTATTAACCTGTCAGTAGATGTTTGTTTGTTTAGTACAAAACATTCTTCAAGATGGGTAACTCGGTAACTAACTTTCTAAACACAATACATCAGTGATTCTCCACCAGCAGATTAAAAAAATCAAACTCTTAGAACAGGGCGAACAGTAGCTCAAGGGTGAACAGTAGCTCAGTTGGTAGAGCATTGGCCTTTGGGCCTGAAGGTCGTGGGTTCGAGCCCACCGTAAGACCTACTTCACGACTCCCACTGATGACTGCTGTCGTTGTGTCCTTGGGCAAGACACTTAACCCTACTTTGCCCAAAGCCCCAACTGAAAGATCTCAGCTCCTGTGGACTCACCACCTGCAGGAGGATCAGTGAAGGGCTGATGCTATGTGTACTGGGTGCAGCTCTGACTGCCACCCCCCCGACCCAGAAATGGATTAAGGGGAAGAAAATGGATGGATGGAAACTCTTAGAACACATTAGAACTGAGGAAAATGACACAAGGTCTAGGGTCGTGTCACAGCAGAAGACATTTTATTATTTTTTCATAGCCTATAATGACACAAACAGAGTTCTGCAGAGTTCACATGGTTTTATACCCAGACAGAATCAGGACGCTCCTCTCAGCATCCTCCACGGCACTAATAGATGGCTCACTCCACACTAAACTGTACCCTTGATCGATCTAACTTCAAGCGACAAAAAAATATATGTATGAACTAAAAATGTTATACCTAAACATTTTTTAATATTATGTAGCCTATTGCAAATATACATATATATATATAATATATATATTATATATATATATATATATATATATATATATATATATATATATATATATATTACTGCAAGTAAGGCAGGTCCTAAGAAGCCGGCTCAATGGCAAGAACAAGGCCCGGGCAATTAACAGCTACGCCCTGCCAGTGATCAGATACCCTGCAGGAATAATCAGGTGGCCAAAGGAAGAGATTCAGACCACGGATGTTAAAACTCGAAAGCTCCTTACCATGCATGGCAGGTTCCATCCCAAATCCAGCACCCTGAGACTGTACGTAAGCCGTAAAGAAGGAGGCCGAGGACTAGTGAGTGTGAGAGCCACTGTCCAGGACGAAACATCCAAACTCCATAACTACATCATGGAGAAGGCCAAAACGGATGACGTACTCAGTGAATGTCTCAGGCAGTGGCGAGATGAGGAGGTGCTGGAGGAGAGCCCATCATGGCAGAACAAGCCCCTACACGGCATGTACCACCGGAACATAACAGAAGTGGCTGATCTCAAGAAGTCCTACCAATGGCTAGAAAGGGCTGGCCTACAGGACAGCACAGAGGCACTCATCATGGCTGCACAGGAACAGGCACTGAGCACCAGAGCGATAGAGGCCCAGATATACCACACCAGACAAGACCCAAGGTGTCGGTTGTGCAAAGAGGCACCTGAGACGATCCAACACATAACTGCAGGGTGCAAGATGCTGGCAGGGAAGGCCTACATGGAACGCCATAACCAAGTGGCTGGCATAGTGTACAGAAACATCTGTGCAGAGTATGGGCTGGAAACTCCAAGGTCTAAGTGGGAAACTCCTCCAAAGGTGGTGGAGAATGAGCGTGCAAAGATCCTGTGGGACTTCCAGATACAGACCGACCGAATGGTAATGGCGAACCAACCTGACATTGTGGTGGTAGACAAAGGGCAGATGAAAGCCGTGGTGGTGGACGTGGCACTGGAGGGTAAAGGTGACAGTAGTGCCCGTGGTGATCGGTGCACTCGGGGCAGTGACCCCGAAGCTAGAAGAGTGGTTACAGCGGATCCCTGGAACAACCTCGGACATCTCGGTCCAGAAATGTGCAGTGCTAGGAACAGCAAAGATACTGCGCAGAACCCTCAAGCTCCCAGGCCTCTGGTAGAGGACCCGAGCTTAGAGAGGGATAACCGCCCGCGTTTTGTATATATATACATAGTATAATCTCAGAAGGGCAGCTAAAACTATTTCAAGAAAAATGGATGCCTTTCAAAAAACAAATTATTGAACTTTGGGGACATAATTGTTACATTTAGGACATGTCCTGTTGGAGGCTTAGTGAATGGAAGAATGAACAGGACAGACAAGACTATTAATGGTTTATGGTTGGAGATATAACTATAATCAATATGTAATTGTAGATTTTACATAATGCAAAAAAATATTATTTAATAACTGCGGACAAACTGGGCGTTTTGGACGTAACATTCGTGTCACTGGACAAACAAGCTGGGGACAAAACCAGAGTGGGTCTGTGAACATTCAGCTGTAACATTTCGGGACATTTTCGTGTCATTGAACAAAATGTAACACTTTGATACAATTTAGTGTGGAGTGAGCCAGATATGTTTGCTTTGACCTTCAGTTGTAATGATCAGCACAGTTTCAGCATAATTGAACAACATTTAGAACACAGAAGATTCATTGGTCGATCAGATAACGGGGTATTGCCCCTAAATGTCAATGTCATCCCCTGCCTTTAGACCTCGTGGAGAACTACTGTGAGAGAGAGATCCACTCCCATGAACGGACAGGCTTTGGATCAAGTCAAGTCTACTTACAAGCCACAAGGTGGCAGTGTTTGATTAGGTGCCACCCTGTGGCATAGTAGTGTGGCATAAGTTCAATACGTGTATAAACAATTGAATCACATCCTATCAAGAATAAATATTGTTTACTTTCCATTTTTTTAAAGCAGCAAGTTATAAGCTATAATGACATGATTTAGTTTGCCTCAGAGAAACCCAAAGCTCCAGAGTGCATAAGAGCAGGTATTTTTCATGACATGTTTCATTTGCTCCTTCCTTTCATCTCGCTGAGACCCCTGAGGGAGAACACTGGAGCACTGTGTGTGTGTGTGTGTGTGTGTGTGTGTGTGTGTGTGTGTGTGTGTGTGTGTGTGTGTGTGTGTGTGGAAGACTGGGGGGGTCCGGCCTTTGCTACTGGATCCCCAGATCCTAAGTGGGAGATGACAACATGAGATAATGGGGTGGAGGTATAACAGGGTATCTGTGCTATAGTCCCCCAAAACCTGTGATATTCAACCTGTGTAACCCCCTTCTCCTTCTCCACAGCTCAAAGGGGATTTAAATGTGTTAATGAAAACATATTTCAAATATATAATGTCTTTTACACCTTTATATTGTTTACCATCATGGCCTAATTTACTATAGGAATATCATGTGTATTGATATGGAAAAATGATAAATGATGGAATGGAGCTGTGAGCGGTGCACTGTGGGAAAGTGACAGAAGCTGTTGTGAAATGACAGAATGAGATACAGATTCTAAAGGAATTGCT